CCCAAACTGTTTATGTATAAAATTTATTGTTAAAACCTACCTTTTAAAAATCTAAAAACCCTCTAATGATCGTGCGGTCTCCGCGCTGTTCCGACCGTGCCAACGCGCATCTTCCCAGTGCGTCCTGCCAAGACCTGCATGTTCCCGCGACCAGTTCCAGGAGCGCGAACCCCCTTCCAAGACCAGACGTGAACATGCCACCTTTCGCAGACACAGCGAGTGCATGGAATATATTTCCCCAGAGGAGAAAACTCGTTTTTCTAAATGGGATGAAAATATGTCCGCTGAGCCCTTGTTTGCCACAGTCTCTGCTCACCTACAGCTGGTTCTGCTTCCTGGGGACAAAGGGAAAGAGGCAGCTGTGCTAAAGCCGCGCACTCCCGGACCGGCGGACACCACCGCCCCCTGCTCCCCGACACGCAGGACAAAGCAGAAGCCAGAAAACATGCTCACGTCCCACGAACACCCACTGCGGGAGACCAAAGACAAAACAAAAGTACAGAAAAAGTAGGAAGGCGTAAAGACAACCGAAGAGATTTCAGTGTGGTTATTTACAACAGAGACTGGAAAATGGTAAATCAGATATGAAGCTAAAAAAGGCACAGCTCTCCCTTTCTTAAATACACTGTAAACGGTTCATTAGGCATGCAGAGCATCTCACTTTACAAAAAGAAATTTTTTACCTTGTTTGTTTAGACAAAGATAGTACTTAAATAGTCTCCAGCAAAATAGAATTCTTTCAAAAATACTTTCCCATTCTTCCTATTAACCATTGAAGTTTTTTTTTAGGTTTTTTTTTTTTTTGTCTCATTTACAAAAGTTCCTTATACCTTATATAACTCAGGTCCTTCACAATTTATACATACAGTAATGTACAGCACAGCAAAAGACTGCAAAAAAATTATCTGTAAAGCCAACACAATTAGATACTAGAAATTGAAACCGAGGCATTTCTTTTAACATCTTATCCATTCTAATTAAGGAACAAATGGACGCTGGAGGGTGTGGATGCCAGTGATGCGGAGGACCATGGGTGCATGTGAGCCAGAGGGGGGCGCTCTTCCACGCCACGTGCTCTGTTATTACACAACAGGAATTTGTATAGTTTTTTTTCTTTTTGTGTGTGTTTAAATAACAAAAGAATATTAATGCCCCATATAGACTATACGTTTTATGTGCAAACCAAGGGTAAGCTTTAAAAAGTTCGTTAGTCCTTGAACCCTTTTAAAACAAGCGACTGATACCAGAAACTACATGGCATAGTTAAAACCTCCATCTGTTAAAGTATCAAAATCAGAGTTATTGACTAGATATGGCTTTTCATCCAGAGGAACGGGAACGTGTTTCTAAGCACTGGGGGCTGGAGAGGGGAGAGTCCTTTAGACTAGTGGGGTCTTGCCAAATCATGTCTAACTGCTTTCCCAGCCCCAGACCCTTGACATGACTTTAAACTCGGGAAACTTCTGAACAAGTGTGAATCAACCACCAATCATAAAAATATGATTCCTTGGGTCCTTCGTAGGTGTGGAACAGCACAGGGGAACTTAAGGCAAAGTTCTGCTGCTGCGACGCGTCGGTCACTTCCTGTGAAAGTAGAGGGGCTTGGCGTTCCCGGACTCCACCTTCGGCAGCTGGTCGCTGATGATCTCCACCAGCATCGCGGGGAACTCCACTTTCAGGGCCTGGGACTCTCGGAAGGTATAGAAGCAAAATTCCAACAAGTCACTCACCAGCTGCAACACAGACAGAGAGGAGACGTGACATGGAGGCCAGGTGTCCATCCCTGTCCCCGAGCGCCCTGTGGTATGACCCTTGTGTAAATTCAGAGAGCAGCGTTCAGAAATCCAGCCGGGAAACTGAGTCCGTGAAGCTGCCTAATTAGTTTAGTAAGTCACCTGACCTGGGGGAGAAAGGAGGGTGCTCACATCACTTGGCACATAATATGCCATTCCTGCAAAACAAATTCAGCCACGAGCTGTCCAACTGCTGAGGATTAAATAGATCAGGGACAGTAACAGAGTTCATAGTGGCTGGGTCATTGAGCTGCTCTCCTCAACTTATTTCTGAATGTGATAATGGGGTGGGGTGAGCATGTGCTCCCGTCTTTGGGTGATGGGCGTTCCCAAGGCTGTGAGGTGGGCTGGGGTTGGAGGGCAGGTGCCAGCTCAGAGCCCACACAGCAAACAGCCAGGACAGTGAGGGACAAGGTAAAGCTCCTTTGCTGGCTGGGGTTGTGTGCCTTTAGGCCTGGCTTAGCCCTGCCAATTAGCCCCCCAGCCCTCATCCTGGACCCCCCTCCGCAGGCCTTCTGTCCTGAGCTGGTGGAAGGACTCAGACTTCTCAGTTTTGATTTCCTCCCAGCTTTTGAGATGTGGTTATATAATTGGCATCTAACATTATATAAGTGTAAGTTGTACAATGGGTGGATTTGATATATATTGCAATATTATTAGCTAAAACCTCCCTCCATCACGTCACATAATCACCATTTCTTCTTTGTGGTGAAAGTACTGAAACGATACTCACTTAGCAACTTCCAAGTATGTAATATTGTATTATTAGCTATAATCACCATGCTGTACATTAGACCCCCAGAACTTACTCTTCTTATAACTAGAAATACGTATAATTTGGCCAACATCTCCCTAGCCCCTGGTAACCACCTTTCTACTTTGTTTCTATGAGTTTGGCTTTTTTAGATTCCACAGGTACGTGAGATCATCCAGTATTTCTCTCTGTTCCTCTGACTTATCTCACTTAGTACACTGCCTGCCCTCAAGGCCCACCCGTGTTGCTGTGAGCAGCAGGATTTCATTGTGTGGGTATTGCCTTCTCACCCGCTCTCTGTGGCAGGCTGACTTTAGGAGGACGGCCCTGACGTCTCCTCGCCACCCAGCCATCTGCCCTGCTCTGCGACCCAAGACCTCATCTTCCTGGATCTGAACCATTCCAGCGCTCTAAGGTGACGAAACAGTAAAACAGTAACGCACACATGCAGTACAGCACGACTGGTCGCTGTTCTATTTACTAGGAGTGTAATTTCAAATCACAAAACAGACATTCTGATTTTGCGTCAGTTAACTAGACTTTCGTCATTTCCCACTGTAGTAAGTCAGGCAGTATTAATAATCCATGTCAGAAAAGCGATGCTTGTGAAAACACGTCCGTCACTTGCCCTCGGGATTTCTGTTAACTCATTTAGCGAGCATTAGTTGTGTGGGATAGTAAATAATTGTGGTAAAGGCCTTCGTTACAGACCAGAAATGGAGAACATATCACTGGGAAGAAGACTGGGCGCTTCTCGTTGTGGCTGCAGAGTGCTGTCCCCTGAGCGGGTTCCAAGGACGTGACATGTAGTAAGTGTTCTGCAGCCACAGGATGTGTGGAGCACACAGATAAGCTGGGAAACAGCATGAGCCTCTGTCCGTTCTGGGCAAGTTCACACATACAGGTGCTTGCTTCGTGGTGCCTCAGTTTCCAGATCTGTAAAATGGGGTTGAGGCAAGCATCTACTTCCCAGGGGTGTTGGAAAGGGCTGAATGAGCAAATGGGCACGGAGCTCATGCTGAACGGATGCCAACTCTTAATCAGGAGGCTGAGATGCTTTGCGAGGGCGGAGCCTTTGTAATGCTGTCCTCCCACTGGCCCCAAGCTCCTTCCGTCATTTTCCTCTATGGGACACAGTTTACAGAACCTGCTGAGTCAGTGTGGTGGAGCTTGGCCCTCAGGTCCCCCTTCTATAAAATGAGGGACAGGAGAACTTTGTTTTCTGTCTTTCTAGAAAACAGATTTTTAAAATAGAATTGGGATGGCAGGTTTCTTTATTATTTTTTAGGTGGTAGGCAGTGGCTGTAAAAGTTGAAATCCACACTGAACCCTGCTCTCCTCATGTAGTACCACACCCTTTGGTGGGGTGAGTTCATGTGGGGTCACTTGGTGGGTTCAGAACAGACCTCTGGACATCTGAAACAGGTGACCTGGCAAGGTCAGGGCTGCTTTGGGATTATATTTGTCAACAGGCGAGAGCAATGCTGATTCATATACACTAAGAGATGCAGAGCAGAGTAAATCAGTTCTTACCACGAGGCAGGGTGCACAGGAGCACGTTTGTGAACCTGCTAGTGGGGCCAAGCCTTCTCAGGGCCTCTGTCCAACACCTGCATAAATGTGTTCTCAGCACCGAGCAACACCTAGGAGATGCTGAGAAAACCAGAAGGGAGAGGGGCTCGGCTGTTTCTCCTCTCAGGTGGGCTGGGGACAAGCGTCCCAGACTCTCCTCACTAACCATGTATATGAACCTGGGGCTGGCACCTGGGGCTTCTGTTTAAGCGACTGCCTTGGCCAGCTGCAGAGGGAGGGGGTTGGCCTGGCATCCCCGGGCTACGCATTTGACCCTGTCACCACCAAGCACTCTCAGGAAAGAGCTCACTCTTAGGGTGGCTGCTTTGGAAGACTGCCAGGTCCTGGGACAAGGCTGAAAACCTTCACAGGACTCAAGCCAGAAGGTTGAGCCAGTGACTAGAGTTGGTAAGGTCAGATCACCTGTGACAGTCAGATGCTCCCAGTCGCTGGGTGAGAACATCCCTGGCCCTTCGCAGATGTTTTTTGGGGGGGGGGGG